GCTCACTGTATATGTCAGCACGGCCTGGCTACAAGGCAAGGGGAAGCACTGGATGGAAGGAGAGGAGCTGCTGCAGAAGTGGTAGTTTGCTAGGTAGCATCGACTTCAGCAGCCAGTTTTCTTCTTTTTGTACGGATTTGGTTTTTTTCATTCTATTAAACCTCATTTTCGACATGATAGTTCATTTGGTTGGCTCAGTTTTATAAGATTCACGATTCAATCCCCATGCTATGCCAGAGGGATCAGCGCTGCTCTCATCATCCCACCTTCATCATAAAATTTTAAATGAATAACCTGAACAGCCTTTGTATCTTTAAGGCCTATACCTACAACCCTCCTACTGCTTAGGCTTTTCTTGCATTGTTCATTACTTTATAGTGGATTCAAGAAGGGTTTTGCATTGTTGTCCGTAGCTGTTTGATCATTCTAAGAGAATTAAAAAGTCAGATGATCAGTCAGTGACAGACCAGTCATGTTGTTTTTTTTCTTTATTAAACTGAGAACATCGGTAGGACAGACAGTTCGCTAGAACTCGAGATTTTACCAAGAAGAAAGTAGAATCAATGGCTAGAGTGAACACAAAGTCAAGCTCATAAGACTGTATATTATGGCGCAGAGCTCAACAGTGAAGGTCTCGTGCAGGAACCTAAAACTCTACAATTCGGTTCGAAAAAATCTTCTTAGAGTACTGTTCATGACCTTGATAAGCACAACATAAGGCATATGTGAATTTCATTGCACAATATGAAAGTATGACAGTGGCAAATAACGCTGGTATCGAATGGTCAAAAATTCTCGAATTGTCGTCTTGTAAGATGAAAAACCACCTCTACTTTGCAACAGTTTGAGCCTTTATTTTTGTTTGAATACATCTGAGATTTTCAGTAGAATTCAAGTACACGGCGTAGTCTCTGATTCATCCTCCCTGACAACTCTTGTTGTATTGTACAACACCGGTCGCAGAGGTTTGGAAGGTTCGGTTGACACGGATTGGTATCAATTTCAGATTTAATCTTTGGATCATAGGTGTTACTCAGCGCCCCTTCGCACTACACCTTTCCTACGGAAGACAGATATAAGAAGTCCTGAAGATCGACTAGCCTCTATGCGCCCTTCTTTTTGAGCTGAGCTCGCGCTCTTATATTTTCGCTCTTCAGCTATCATAATGCAGTTTTAAGAACAGTTTATGGAAAAAAATTATCGTGATCTACGGCATTTTTCAAAAGTGAGTAAATTCATTGAAATACTCCTCCTCATACGTGTATGCTTTCTTATATAATCTTTATAAAAGTCTAATCCTTAACACCGATGCAGTATTTATAAGAAGCAGAAAAGAAACGATTTCTCACAAGATTTTTCAAGACAATATTTAATTTTTATAGTACGTAATATCGAGAGTAATTCAAGCTTTTTGCTGTGCAAAGCTGCTGAGTACTTCATTGGAAATTCGGAAGCCGTCAGCGAGCACTGGCATTTGTAGCGACGATCCACCATCTATCACCAACAGGTGGCCAACTATGTAACCGGATTTTTGCCTGAAATGTCGGCATTCTTCATATATGAATTCGTTTGTCGTTTTTCTGAGCACTTCTGACGGCTACTTCACTGCCTTTGTGGCTGCCCGTTGCGGAAATTGCAGGATAGCGTACATATTAAAAGAAAAGCTAAAAATATCGAAACCGTAGTATCGGTGTAGCCCATTTAAGGACGTTTCCGAAAGATCTTTGTTGAAGTCGCATGCACTATTCTGAGAAAGTTTGTAACAGCCAGCAGCTTCATCAGACTGTTCCTACTGCAACTTTTTGTACAGTCGCGGGGGAATCCTATTAGCTTCATGTGAGCGGCGACCACTAGATCGCGGAGCATAAACACAACTTAATCGTCCAACTGGCAACTTACCTATCAGCTAGGAAGAGGATTGCCTCAGCTATCTCCTCAGGAGTTCCAGAGCGGCCACAAGGAATTCGTGAGGGTGATGCAGCAATGGCCTCTTCCATCTTTAAACCGCGATATAGAGAACGTCGATAAATGAATTTAATCAAATCAACTAACTGGTTTATCTAACTTATGTGAGATCTACCTAACCTTTCTTACAACTTCCGCTGGTACTCCTTTTCTTTGAATGATATTTGTCGACACCATTCCAGGGCTGAAACGTTTGCCTTCAAACATGATCTTGAAGGAACAGGTTACGAAAATTTAGGAGTCTTTGGTTCAAGATGAATAATGAAAGCGAGAGCTCAGAGTAGTGCAAAAGTAGGGAAGAAGGGGNAGAAAAGCTAAAAATATCAAAACCGTAGTATCGGTGTAGCCCATTTAAGGATGTTTCCGAAAGATCTTTGTTGAAGTCGCATGCACTATT